AGATTACAGGACCAGAAATAAATCAAGCGAAATCATCATTTGTGTGTTATAGGTGTTCCAGTGTAAACGAAAACCTCCCCTTCCGATTGCCCTCCACAAACCTACCCTGTTTTATCGTGTGTTCACTGCTGTCAGCAATACAAAAGTTGTTAAGGTACCATCCTCGGGCTCCTGTCACCATGGAAGTCAGTGTAATTCAGTTCAACGTCAACGGAAAGGATGTTAGTGTTCAACGTGTCGACCCCGAGACGACGCTTGCCTCCTATCTTCGAAACCAACGTGGGTTCATGCCGATCGTTTGGTCCAGAGTTCGGCTGATTTCATATTATTCTTATCACTCGCTACTTTTCGCTTATTACATCTGTTTTCAGTGGGTTTGACTGGTGCGAAACTTTCATGTGAATGTGGCGCATGTGGGGCTTGTACGGTGGTAATTGGAAAATGGGATCACAAGTTGGGGAAAGCGAAGTACGTTCACTCTTCCTACCTCTATGTCATCTTGTGATTTCATCGCCAGCTGAATAAAAAGAAAACGTTTATAAAATTTGTTAGACTCAAGGAACTCCTTACATACACAATGATTAATAATAAATAATTGGACAAGTAAGTACGTTTTTTGCCATGCCTCTTTGCGAGCTCGATCTCATGATGCATGACGTGTGAAGGTTGAGCTGTGATTGGTTGATTTGGCATGATGTGATTGGTGGGCATGATCTAAGGAGGAACAGGCGCGCGTGAACATCGTATTTTAGGGATTGAGAACTTTCAGAATCGGTTCCTCTGTGAACAGTGTTACTTACAGATATACTGCAGTAAATGCCTGCGTTTTTCCACTGTATATGGCTCACCACAGTCTGGTGTTGACGATAGAAGGAATTGGTAATCCAAAGAAGATACATCCGATACAGGATCGTCTTGCTCGAATTCATGGTTCTCAGTGTGAGTTACAGCTTATCCTTTTCTGATTATTTTACGAAAGTCTTGTATTTTGTGCTTCGCTATCGAAAGCAATACTTGACAGTGATAATTTCTGAGATGAGTGCACAATATGGCTTTTTGCCGGACAGATTCGCGAGTTCTCTTTCCGGAACATCTCGAGGAATGAATTCATTGAATCGAATCACGGTTGCTATGACCGGTATTGCATCGACTCAAATGATACACCGGCTATCACATTTCCCTGCTCTGAATATTGATGCGTTCACCATCATTGTGTAGAACCTATTATAGATGCCCCATAAGGGATGCAGTAGGTAAAAGGTGCGCTATTCCAGTGGCTCAAAAGGACGCGACGCAAAAGTTGTCATGTCCGCCGCTGACAGTCGCTTCTCTTAGGCTGGTGTCAGAGTCCGCGATCCGTCGCGCGATTCGCGCGAATCGACAGTCACAATCGACTCCGACACCAGCCTTACACTCCGAGCAGCGGCCTACACGACGGACTGTCTGTCATCTCGCTCGTATGCTATTTCTCTTCCCTAGACCATAGGTTCTCTTTCCTCCCGCAGTGTCAGTTAGAGTGTCCGTCTTTGCCATTATCGTGAATACCTCAGCCATTCACGAAATGAACTTTCGCCTGTTCTCGATGTTTTAGACGGTTCGCTCTCCTTATCTCTCTACTGGTTTTCCATTTGGTAGCTTACTTTCGTTTTGAAGTGAAATAACCTCATCACTTAGTCGTGGAATTCACCTACAAGAGCGAAGGTCTTTATTTGCAGGTGGTTTTTGTTCTCCGGGCTTTGTTATGGCTGCATACGCTCTTCTTCGCACGAATCCTAATCCTACTGTTCACGAAATGAATCAAGCTATCAAAGGTAAAGGCTGCTCTAAGTTTGTATGGATACTGAAATACATATTTCATAAAATGCTTTCTATATAGGCCATGGATGCCATGCAATCGACCTCAGTCTGATAACTAGTTTACCTCGCCTGATATTCTAGCACATTTTTGAGCGATGAAAATACCCCTTGTATCTTAGGGTCGGGGGAATCTGCACCACAGACTTCACGCAAACGATGATGACCTCCATGTAAATCTCATAACTAGTCGTTTTTAGTGATATTTGATAGCTCAAAAGTGATGGTGATAATTAGCGACAATTGAAACAACTGCAACAAGGTAAACATTCGGGTGGCAGAAAAGCAAATTAAGCAAATCAAAGTAACTTTTGTGGAAGTTCAAATCGTTTTTGACTCAAATTCTGCAGTGGACACGAATCTGGCCGCCCGGATACAAAGGGTCATTGTTGCAAGACCTGAATCTCATGGTCAAATTAAGGACTTTCGAAATGATCACTAGAGACAACCCACAAAGTTTCACCCACGAAGATTCAGTTTCCGAGGAAAGTAACTGACGAAAACCACACTATGAACTGTCGAAGGTAAGTCGCGCGGAGCCAGGGGAGCATGTAAAGAAGGCTCTATCGAGGCAGCCACGTGTCGAGGTATTGGAAAAATCGGAGTTAGGTGATGCATTTGGAAATAGACCCAAACGAGTTCGACAGAGTAGAAGCAATAGAAGTGTGGAATGTTAATGCAATAAGTCAATAGGCCAGAACAGTCTCTTAGTGAGAGCCACTCCGAGAACTAAAATTGGAAGCACTCCCGTCGCCAGCATTTGTGGCAGATGTCCGGTGGTACTTTGAGCGCTAGCAGCCCTTCCGGTTTCTCCATTTTTTTTTTACTGAAATTGTAATTTTTTGTAGTTTGCGTCTATCGAGCAATGATGGAGGTCACAAGCCAGTAGATTTATAGGGTGAGATTAGAATCACACGATTTTTCCGAAAGTTCCGGTCAATTTCCATATTCGCTTCTATAATCCATCATAGGTAAGGCCGGGTAATAGTGGAATGTGTTAATGGCAGAACCAACGCTGCTTGTAACATCGGCGGCTACCGTAAGTCAGATATAGCTGCGCTGCCGTTGAAATGCGCCCGGCATGTAGCGCAATCTCACGCATTGCCTATCTTTATCCAATGAATTTCATCTACAACAATCTTTCCTCTGACGTATTCTCTCGATTGAATTTACAGGTCCTTACACAAAGTCATCTAGGATGTTTCCAATTATTTAAGGAAATCTGTGCCGTTGTACCGGTTATCGACCATTTCTTGAAGCTCTTTATTCCTTCACAGAGAATGGTTGTTCTAATGGAAATGTGAGTTGAACGCAAAGTGACTGTTGGAGGCAGTGATTACAATGGCTGGGAGGCGAAGTTAATCACTGAACGTCCGGTGCAAGGGCGTTGGCGGGCGGTCAGGTACCCGACAGAAGGCCTGTCGAGCGGGAAGAAGGCGAAGTCAGCGGAAGGGTCGGTACGATGTAAGACGTACTATGCTACCTGCTATTTAGCTTATCGCAAAATCATACGGTACGCGACTCGTCCGCCGACTCTGCCTTGTTGCCGCGCGACGGACCTCCTATCGGTGTGTCGTGGCGTCCCGATCTCAGTCCTAACAATTTCCAGCGTTTCTCCGCAAGTGACGTCCCCAAAATGACTCCACCTTCCAGCCTGCGCAATCTCTGCCTTCGAATATCAGACTCACCTAAGCAATTTGTTTATCAGAACTCTGGTATTTGCTGCAAAGAGAATGGGAACGGAATTGATCACCAAAAGCTCGTTGCGTTTGAAGATTCCCGAAATTCGACGAAACGCAAGAGATTCTCTTTCCTCCAAGTTTAATTGTGAGTCAATTCCGAACTTTTTGTTGAAATCAAAAAACAGTTGTTTGTAGATGGAAAAAACAGCAAGCGACTTGTATCTGGAAGGTGCCCGAGTGAAACTTGTTGCACCAGTATCCTGGAAGGAAATTGATGCCTGCTTCGAGTTGAACGATGAAGTGACGATTGTCTCGTCAGGGCAAATAACCAGGCTATGTTCGTTATTTTCAAAGTACTGACAAGCCTGAATTCAAAAAATGGTTAGGCGTCCCACCTGCTATTTCATATTCCAATTTTTCGCCAAAAATACCAATGATAGAAACGACAAATTATTTCTCAAGCTGTCTCCATAACTAAACAAAAGTGAGCATGAAGCTGAGTATGTAGCTAGCCCTGAGTTCCATGATGGGGAGGAAGTGAGGGGGAGAGGTAGGGGAGAGACTCGCGTAGCATTTTTCGTCCTTTCCGTAGTACCTCCAACTCCTTAGCTTTGACCTCTTGCCTGTCTTTTCAATGCATATTAAGTAGTTTTTTTTGCAAATGTTCGTACTAACCACACAGCTCAAAAAACCGTCCAGTAAAAATGCAGTTAAAATATTATATTACAATGCAACCTACTGCACTATTACGACCGCGAAAATTCTCAAAAAAGTCCCTACAAAACGAACGCAGTGTGAAACGGGGCGGCACATTCGATTTCAACATGGTCTCGTTCTTTCTTCATCCATAACGTAGTGCCACAATAGCAAAGTGCTGCTGCACACATTTTGATAGTTGCATTAAAGGCAAGAATCAGGATTAAATTGATGGGGTGATTCCACTCAAATGTGAAAGTAGGGGTGGGAGGTGGACCGCCAGTGGAGAAAAAAGGAAAGAAAATCCTGAAATACACAGGAAATACGAGCATTTTGCTCTATGCTGTGGAGAAGTTCAAAAGACAGGCAGGGAGATGAGAGATAATGTGAGCGCGGAGAGCGGTAGAGAAGTCCGAGAAGAGAGAGCATAGCAGATCAACGTGGCGACGCAGACAAGATATCGAACGGTGGGCGGACCATGTTAAGTTTGGTGGAGTCTGTTAGAAGTCCATGGCGCCTAGGGTCCTAGTGACGCGTTTCGATGTAGAAAGGTGGCGCTACCTTTGCACTTGCGTACCCAGCACTTCTAGCCATGGTAAGGGCTTCTTAGGTGGGTCTGAGCCCGAACTTTGCCTTTAAGACATATTTTGGCATATAACCTTCGCCACGTATAGATCTGCGGCAAGTGTTTAGATAGTTGGTGGGCGTTCGGGGCAATTTGCCCGCCAAAGAGGAGGCCATGCCAGATCGCCGGGGGCACATCCTTCGATGCGAATGGCGTACTGATTCCACACCCTTACCAGGAAGGTCTTTCAGGACATGGAGCCCTTTTTGAAAACGGTTTTTTGCATGATAAAGGGGCACATGCATGGAGTACAAAACTAGGCTCCATTTTTTCTGAGCGGCCCTCCTAATGCCAAAAAAGGATGTGAAAAAATTTCTTCAGAAATCGGAGTTTTCACACCTTCAACGTAGTTTATATCACTCGTTATGTTATGTTAAGTGGACGCACAATAGCAAGATTTCTTCACTCTGGACGTTGAAAACAGCGTGGAATAAAGCCAAGTATCCAAAATTGTATATTATTAATAGCTCAAAAGCACAAGGAAGTTTCATCAGAGTTGTTGACATTCATGTACAGCGGTGGTCGGATGGTCGAGTGGATAGCGTGATGGACTCTGGTTGGCACGGTTTGTTCGAAGTTGTTGGTTCGGTTCCCCTCCATGCTCGGATTTTTGCATTTTTCCGATTATCACTTTTCTGCATTTACATGTGCTTGCGCGTGAACGTTAAAGCATATAGGTGTCATTTCCAAGAACTTTCTCCCACAATTCTGCGATATTTCGTTAGCTACCATGTCTTTATCAGTGTCCCGGGATACGGAATTTCCGTTTACAGGAGCAATAGAATAACTAGCAGATATCAAGGTAAACTCATGAACAGTCTGATCAATAGCGCGCGGATCACACCATTGCAGTTTAACGGAGACGCCCAGAAAAGTGAAGTTCGTCGTTGGGGTTACTTCGCAAAGGAAACACTTGATTCATTTCTCCGCTTGAAAGGGCGCATTGGCCGGTTGCTGAGGTAATGTCAGGATGCCGTCGGACGTATGCACGTTGCCCACCAGACACGCCATGCATCGACGAAGATCAAGGGGTGTTACCAAGTGGGCCCCATAGGCAAGGAAACTGTGCGGTGGAAGTGTAACTATCAACCAAACGTGCGCTTGCTATCATCTCGAAGCTGTCTCCAAGTGGGAAGCGTGCATGCCGTACTGACTATGGGCTAACCCATGGCCCAATTTTTGAATTCGGGCCGAAATCTTGATCTTCTCTAAAACTGCGGCTATAAGGGTAATTATAGGCGCTGATTACGAATCTGACGTCCATTTTTGATGGAGGCGCTAAAAAAACACAAAGCGGATATGGACGCCAGCTTTAGGCCGGGATTCGGCACCATTTCGGCGCGTTTTGAGTTGCCATCTACGATTTCGCCCCACATTTATGAGCGGAAAGCTATCAGGTATATGGGAAAGGACCCTGCATTGGTAAAGAACAGTACCTCTTTTTATCGATCGCGGCAACATTTGGAGTCATTTAACATGCGCTAACATGAAATGCAAAATTTTGTCATCAGCCGGGACCGATCCCTCGACCGATTTTTCATACCTTTTTTGGCATTAGGAGGGCCGCTCAGAAAAAATGGAGCATAGTTTTGTACTCCATGCATGTGCCCCTTTATCATGCAAAAAACCGTTTTCAAAAAGGGCTCCATGTCCTGAAAGACCTTCCTGGTAAGGGATCCGCCTATTTCCCCATTACGTAAGTTTTCTCTTCTTCGACCTTCGATCTTATCGTGGAATTCCCCTTGAATAGGGTTTCAGCGTGTAGCTAGCTGGCTGTGCGCTGCAAGCAGCGAGCGCCTAAAAAAGAGTGTATCAATGATGCGCAAGATAGATAGCGACAGCCGCGACGTTCACCGTCCTCACTAAATTGTAGAGCTTTAGTACTAACATTATGAAGATTGATGCAGATGTTTTAGATTTGGAGAGACACAACTAAGTCCTCAACCTGTCCTCTCCCCTCCCCTTTCCCCTTTCCACCCTCCTCCCCCCACACCTCGTAAAGAATGGTGCATAAGAAAGATTTCGAGGCGGCAAAGTTGGTTAGCATCCCGCCCATAAGCAAGAATGCCTTATGCTTGGGCCCACTTAACTTATCACTCCCTTAGAATTTTAAGCACAAATTACCGCACAACATTTCGAAAAATCGCTTACGAAGTGTTTTATCCAATTCAGATCTAGCTGCAGACAGTCTTCACAGGTCGACATGTTCAAGTGGGGTAAGCGTTCATAACCTCCCCGGTCGATTGAAAGCAATCGATTTGTGGAGGCGGAGCAAGAAGATCGCTGGTGATATCGGTGCTAGCTTCGTCAGTTATTCGGACCTCATCAAGTCGATAACTGAATTTTGTGATCGATCGATTAGCATACCAATCAGGAAACTTTATGACAAATTCGCCTCATTACAAATCATGGAACATGGCGGTAGGTCACTCGTTTTATAACATCTGCTTGCATTAAAGGGTGAAGACAATGTCTGGATGGGTGGAGCTATTCAGTGCAGAAACGCCATTGATGGAAAGCCGTCCGGGAAGGCGTTCGGACCGCCTCTTAACGCTTTCCCACCAATGATGTCTAAAAATGAGCTCCGCCTCCCAGTCATTGTGCTCAGTATTTCTCACTGCGTTGATAACTTCCACTTCAAAAGCGAAGTGTCGGCTCCCAGTGCAGAACAAACACCACAACTGACGACGGCCTCCAAGTGAACCTGAGTTAGAAGTTGTTCACAGTGATAGCTGATTTTCTGGTAAATGATAGTTGTAATTAGTGACAATCGATAGAATACAACTGCAACAGGCTAATCATTTCATTGGCAGAAAACATTAACATTTCGTGAGAAGGCCGTCGTCACATTGTGGTGCATGGTCTGCACCGACACTTTCTCGCTTTTCGAAGGGGAGGGCAACATACATGGAATTGCAACTGAATACACTTCAGGAGCTGGGGCCGGAGTGGCTTACTCGTGCAGGAGCAGCTGATAGGTTTCGTCACTATTACTACTGTCAACACCAAGATATGTTGTTTATCGGAGAACTGGGAGGTTTGCATTATACGGCGGTGAATGTCTGGATTTTATGGACACGACAGGACGCGTATAAAAATTGAACAGAGCGCAGCCAATTGTCGTGGCCGCCACATCTTCAGCCGTTCACAGCGTGAACAAACCGATGGGATATCTGCTTAAATGCTTACTGTGGGCAGCGATAAAGATTTAGCTGTGAATCAGGGTACAATGCGGAAAGCTATGTTAAGAAGTATGACGACAGCGTGACGCGGTAACGCGTTCCACTTTGCGCACCTCGCGGGACATTGTGACGCGGGAACGCGTCCCACCCAAGTCTTCCCTTTTTCTTTCGCTTATGTGCGACTTATTCCTAAGGTCTTTGCACTCTTCATCTATAGGTCATATACGTAAAAACCACACGACTGACGGAAAGGCCAAATATTCTTTAGTTTGGCAGACGTTTTCCAGACCTACCGGATATGTCCGTTCAATTCATTCCTCGTTTTCTTTTCGTAACGTAGACATGTTGATAAAAAGGAATAACAGAAGTGAATACAAACCTATTCGTATGGGAAGATATGTGTTTTTACTGAAACAACCACGTCCAAATTAATTTTGGAACCACTAAAGGGAAATTAAGTAAAATTTCCCTTTTCATGGCCTTAACACGTCATTTCGGTCAAACTTCCATTACTGTAACTCCTGATAAGCTAGACAGATCGAACATCATTGAAAACATTCCATCGCATCTGAACATTGCGTATTTTAGAACTTAAAATCAATGGATTGTACCCGTGTGCGGCGCTGCCGGTCGCAAAAGAAATCGCTCTTGTCCACGAGGGTGCGAGAGGTGAGGCACAAAACGCGGCCCCCGCGACGTCGTAAAGTGCTTAGGAATGCGTGTCGCTCATAACGTTTCGATTCGAGCGGCAGTATTTGGGGTGATAGACGAAACAAGTAAAAATATTTGGCGTTCTCCTCGCGATAAGAAAACATACCAAAGGTCTCAAAATCTAAGATCTATATGAACAGTCACCGGCCAGTCCGCGGACTACAGGGGCGGATTCTGTGGGCTGCGATCTAAAAGCGTAGTCGAGGCCTTTCACGAGTGTATGAAAACAAATGCGATTTGCCCGGAAGTAGCACGATTGTACCACTCCGGCGAATGTTCATCAGAGGAGAAAACATCGGTTGTAGGCTCCGATTTTACGACAACGATGCGAATTGGCAAGAGGCCCGTCTCTATTGCTAACTGGGCATTTTTTACACGCAAAAAGATGACAGGTCGGTATAAGCGATCAGCTTCAGCCGTGACGTGTCCTGAGGTAGAGCGGCCCTAACAAGGGGAGGTCGTTCAGGTGTGGGGACGCTTTTTTAAAAAAATTGATTTTTTGCACATGACTGGTAGGGGCTCCCACAAGACCACTTACTTGCGTTTCCGTTTTCGACTGAGCGGCCCGGCGAAGATGTCAAAAAGTGTTCGGAAATAAAATTGGGGTTAAAGAATGGGGCTGGGTTTAACTTCTGGGTGAATTGCTTTGAAACTGTAGGAAAAAAGATCACCAGTTAAAGTGAAAGGGACCTCCGTTGATGAAGGATGCATTAGATTGAAACAGCCGTGAGAGTCGCTCAGCATGTAAAGGGAGGCCCGGAACGGTGCTGGCTCAAAGTTTGCACAAAGACTTGAGGGCGGTAACTCCACCCCAACCATGCGGTGAATCGGGAAAAGTGGCATCAGCATATTAGGAAAGCGGACCCCACCACCAAGCGCTGAAGAATACGAAGACGATTTTTGGTAAAAGCTTCAATATATAAAATGTAGTCTGCCTTTCTTCTAATTTACGTAGCATTCATAGCAATTGATGAACTTAAATCTATCCTAGAACAAATTCAGGGTGACCTGCGCGTGTTCACATTCAAGCAAGGACTACGACCAGGCGCAGATTCAACGGTGGTGAATTGTGTCAGTGTGTTCCGAGTGGAATATTTTATTGAAGAAGCACGTGTTGCTATATCACTCGGCGCGGGATCAGCATTGTGCAAGAAAGTCAGTCAGTGTCTACGCGGAAAGTGAGCTATTTATTATTCAAGCTTATCACAATCGGTAACAAATAGGGACAAAAAACGAAAGTACAAATGAGGGATAAAAATTCATTAAAAATAAAGGGAAGGCTACCATACAGGAACAAGTTATTTTCAAAATGCATAAGAGAGCACTGCTTTAGCTGGTTGATGTTACGTCATAGAACTGTTATTTCTCAAAATTCTGTCGGTCATGCATGTGGCTCGAAAAATTCACACAAATTGAACTTAGTTAAAGTGAATGTCCTATACTCCTCTAACGAAAACCCATTTCAATAAGTCGTAAACTCAAACAGAAATAATCGAAAACTGTAATCAGTACGAGACACGATTATCAGGTGGGTGTACAGCTTTTAGGCGTTCACGCAGCTTGTACAGGTGGAGATTGTCCTTGTACTTCCACCACCTAAATGTCATATTTTAACAACACTAATTTTGGTAAATAATAATTTTTGTGGGACAGCACTCGTCGGGAAAATACTCAGGACGCGAATCGCTTCACCGAACTACACATTTCCTGCATGTTATAGAAACACGGGCATGGAACATTAAAGCCACGAGTCAGGATTAGGCAACCAGCAGAAGTTCTTCCCAGGGTGCGATAGTGGGCTCCCCAAGCACTGAGGGCGCGACACTATCGCGACCCAAAAGTGCGCGGCAATGGCGCTAAGGCCTTGCCCGCCGCGCTGCCCGCGCTGCCAGCGTAATCCACCACGGCATACGTGGTCTCTGCGTCCTCTCGCGTACGACGTACTATCTCGCGTTCTCCCTCTCCTCGCAGCGCTGTGTCTCTCCGTCGTACTACGGCCGGCCTCCTAAGGGAAATTTAGTGTTTTCTATGGTGCGAACTTCGTTTACATGTGCAGCAAGGGGAGATGCGAAAAAAGAGGACCTTTTTATCTAGGCAGGGAATTTTAGCAAACTCAGTGTATTGTGACATTTGTCCCGTTGATTAATCCGTATTGATAGCTTTGTGTTTAGAGGAGGGATCACACATGTATAAACGCAGGAAAGTGAAAATCAGAAAAAAAAACAAAATAATCGTAATCAGCGAGAATCGAATCACAATACATTTCTCCCAATTCTTTTTTCGCATTTTTTTTTCGCAAAACGTTCAGAAACAGAAATGATTTTCTTCTTTTTTTCTTTTATTATTCTCACTTTTATACTTCATGCAGGTGCTCTTAAGAACGTTTCTCAATAGCGCTCTATGTCCTGAATGAATTTTCCCGTTTCAAAATGGAGACCTTCAAAATCTGTCACTGTCTCCTTTACGCCCAGTCGATTTCGGGGATGGGCGTTACTTTCCAAAGTGGTGGTGCGACACACTGCGCGGCGAAGAAGGCGATTGATTCTTTCCAGAAACTCATCTCTTCCAAAAGGTGCGGCACGTGACTCACCTCGCAGAGTGACCCTTTTGCACGACCAGGTTTTCATTTGCAAGTGCCACTCCACATCCATCAGTATTACACTCTTGCATCGCAAAATCGATACTTAGAACAAATCCATTTTATTAGGTTCTGCCTATGATAGCTGAAGCCATCAAGCCCGCTGGGCCACCTGTGCCCCATGTGTTGCCGCGGCAAAAACTTTATGAACAGGTCACCGGGTTTGCTGAGTGCTTAGAAGCTACTCAGTGACAATTAAGCAACTATGCTACTCACGTTTAATGATCAACTTTAACTTTAAGCGACGGAATGTACTATAAGATGGTGTTGGGATTCATGTGGACTAAGTGAATGCTGCAATAACGCCGCCAACGCGAAAGAACCCCCCCTCTCGCTCGCTGACCTCCGATAATGAACGAGCTAGCATTACTAACTGAGAGGCCGTTTGCACATGTTAACCCATTGCCACCATCATACTAGCAAAGACCAAGCCTTGATTGATAACGCATCCCATGGGAAAATTATAGTACATGCGCTCGAAGTGGAATACCTTATCTTTAAGGTGAGAGCAATGATGCTGCTAGAATCGACTAAATGGCGGCAGGCGCAATGCCGGGAAACTGTTTGGGCGCGCGCACCAGGGCGCTTTGAAATTCGAAAATCGGGAGGAAAAAAAGAACTAAGCTGCCGCTGTTTGGCCACGAAAAGGTCACATATTGTTTTTTTTTTGTTTTTTTTTTTTTTTTGTTCCCTTTTTTAAGCCCTGACTACTGCTTTCACTGGTATATGTACCTCCATACTACACGGACAATTTATCGTAATCCCTCGCTTTAAGTTCATTTTCCAACCACAACCGTTTTCTGCTCCTCGTCTGCGCCTCTTCCCAATGACGGCTACTATAACCTCGTACATTCTGACTTTCTAAAGAAAACAAAAGATCCACACACAGCAGAGCCTAAAAAGCATATCCACAGGTTTTATGCTTTTATCCCAGCTTTTGGCTTGACTCCTGACCTTAGTTTCTCAAAAGATTTCAGTTGTATCCACTACAGTCTTCGCCGTGGACGTATAACTTCGTATAGCATACATTATACGATATATATAATATATATATATATATATATATATATATATATATATATATATATATATATATATATATATATATATATATATATATATATATATATATATATATATATATATATATATATATATATATATATATATATATATATATATATATATATATATATATATATATATATATATATATATATATATATATATATATATATATATATATATATATATATATATATATATATATATATATATATATATATATATATATATATATATATATATATATATATATATATATATATATATATATATATATATATATATATATATATATATATATATATATATATATATATATATATATATATATATATATATATATATATATATATATATATATATATATATATTCGATACGCCAGACTCTTGATACAAATAGACGGGTGCTAAAATTCAAAGACACAAGGCGGGCGCCGTCGCAGTGCGCCCTTTTGTCGTTAAGAGGATGACGTAACTTAAATCACCAGCACGGTGGCGTCGTAGTGCGCGTTAAAAGTGAATGACTAACTGTTACTGAATCCTATGAATAGATTAGACACATCGCTCAAAGGTCAAATTTGCGCAAAAATAAGTCTTTAAAACAAATTTTCCAAAAAAGCTTACCTTTTCCTCCTGCTGAGCCTGCTGCTGATCTTGTTGCTGCTGTTTGACCTGTTCCGGCTTCTTCTCTGGCTCGTTTTGCTGCTTTTGCTTTAACTTCTCTTGTTCTTCTTTTTCCTTTTGCTTTCTCAGCTTCTCTTCTTCTTCCTTTTGTTTTTGCAGACGCAGTCTCTCTTCCTCCTCTCTTTGCAATCTTAACTTTTCCTCTTCCTTTTGCTTTTCAGCCATTTCTCTTCTTTTCTTTTCCTCTTCTTCATTCTGTTTTATTTGTGCCTTCAATCGTTCCTCTTCCTCACGTTGGTGCTGCTGCAACTTTTTGCGCTCTTCCTCTTCATGTTGCTGTTGCTCTTTCAACCTTTCTTCTTCTTCCTTTTGCTGTTGCTGTCGTCGCTTCTCCTCTTCTTCACGTATCTGTTGTTGCCTCAATCGCAACTGTTCCTCTTGTTCTTGTTGCTGCTTTCTCAATTGCTCCTGTTTTTCATGCAACTCTCTTCTTCTTTTCTCTTCTTCTTCCCTTTGTTGTTGCTGCCTTAACCGCTCTTGTTCCTGTTGCTGGAGCTGTTGCTTTCGTCTCTCTTGTTGCTGCTGAATCTGCTGCAGCCTCATTCGCTCACGTTCATCTCCTTGCTGTTGTTGTTGAGCTTGCTGCTGTTGCCGTGCTCTCTCCTGCTCTTCCTGGCTCACGCTTCCTTGCCCTGATCCTGCTGCTGATCACGCTTTTGCTCGACTTTTTCCTCATGCTCTTGCTCTTCTCCACTTGTAGCTGGTGGAGTTTCACTCCCTGAAATCAAGAAGTCACTTGCTTTTAAAAAATCGACAAAACCAATATTCAAAGAAGCTGGGCTTGATACAATGCCAAAATTGAGCCCATAATGCGCCCTCACTAACCGCAATGCTCACGATGAGTTCGTTGTTCATCTAGAGTTTGTATGCCTAATAGAAACTGAGCCTACCCAACGATGCGTGCTGGTTTTTGCGATGGTACGTGTGCTACAGGCTTATTGAAAGCTCTACGCTGTTTTACTATACAGTACTGTTTCACGTTTAACGTCTACTCACCCGGTGTCTCCAACCATCTGTGCTCTAACGCTTTAGGCAGGAGTGCATAACACAGTATACTTACCATAGCTTGTAAGCACTCACACGTATAACGTCTTGAGGCTATGGTAAGTATACCATGAAAAGCTGGGATGAAATGGTGCCCCGGTAGCGTAACTGGTAGCGCACTTGCCCGGAAAGCGAGAGGTGCGGGTTCTAGTCCCGCCTGGGGCGAAAGTTTTGTTCACAACCCAGCATTCTTGTGAAGCAGAGCACAGTGTTTACAAGGATGATAACTTCTGCTATCTCATGGGAACCACAACCACGAAACGGACCTGCCGCGCTCTGCACGAAAACTTTGACCGCTGCTCGTAAGCCGAACCAAAACGAGCATCAGAGCGGGGGGAAGAAGGTGAAAAGGCTTTTCCTAGTCTTCCCAACCTCATTTCCACAACCAAATGCTCTTACATCACTATCTTTTTCAGTCATTGTCCAACGCGCTTCGTGGTGTTTCCTTTGAAGGTACGGGACGGGATCGAAACGGCGTGTAATTTTGTTCGGAAATTATTCAAAAAGTGGCACATAAGTGTTGAAAAAACAGTGCACAACGAAAACGAGTTTTGGGTGTTCCTTGTGAAGGTCGACTGTCGTATGGCAGAGAGACATAGCGCTACGAGGAGAGGGAAAACGCGAGAGAACGCGTGAGGGGCCAAACGCCACCTTTATGTTGCAACTGACAGGGCGGCTCCGCCGGCAGTTCACAAGACAAGGCCTTAGAGCATTGCGCACCACTGGGTCGCGGCAGTGCTGCAGCTTCTAGGCTTGGGGACCCCTTCTCCCCACGCTACGAAGGATTTCCTCACGGCAATTACTTCCGACCCGTGGCTTCAAGAAAATCATGAGTTGCGCGAATTGCTGAATGCGTGGTATGCCTCCTATTACGGTCGGATTCATGACGAAAAGGGAAAATGAAGTGAGACCAAAAGTGCACGGATCTATATCTGGCAAATGGTGCAGCTCATTGTTTTCATTTGCTCATTCATCAAGCACAAATTTACCAAATTTGGAGAGATGAAAACTATGGTTGGCAGGGGCGGGGGCCGAGGCATTATTCTATCCCCGGACACTTTGCCTAGTAAGGGCGTCACATACCACTTCCCCTCCAGCATCCTACCGTGCAGTTGTGAGTCTCATATGCTCTCAACAGGGAAATCTCAACATCAGTGATACAATGCTACTTCTTGACCATCCCTACATTAAGAGTCATCAAAAGCTCTATGTCCAAGTATTGCGTAAAAAGGGAACCGTCACTCTTCTCAAACTACTCGAATGTGGTTTCACATACCTGTGACTTTTTCCTTTGCACTGGTGATGACTTGATCTACGTCTTGTCCCGAGAAATACAAACCCTGAAAAATAGCACTTTGGAAAGGCACATGAACGAAGTGGTGACAGACAACAGCAGCTCCTTAAACTATAAGTTTTTGAAGGTTGTGTAATGTAGGCGCCAGGGCTATCGCTGTCGCATGTGGAGGTTGAAAGATAGTCTCCATCCCATCGGCAATAGTGTGCATGGATCATGATTCTCCTTAGCAGAATTAATGAAGCCCATTGAGGTTACGCTGGAGACATCTTTTGCAGCCTATTCTTCAAAGCAAACCAAACATGGCAGACCCTTTCTACATTGACAGCTGACCCTCCAGGATCACCTCTCCTCGATCCAAATGTTAACCATGGCGTGTGGCCAATTTAAGACCCCATAGCGCCAACACGACCTCTCCTTACGCTACAGATTACGCCCCTCGTCCGACGTGGCTCGACGGATGGTTGACTCGCTTATTTTTGTCAATGTTGAATCGCGGCAAGGATTGTGATCGTAATCTCCTCTTGTAATGGTGTACTCCGAAGAGACTCGCCTAAGACAGTTCGTACGTTGATGTAAGGGGGGGGGGATGGTCAACATGTGATTGAGTCTTTCTTCAGCTATATAGCATCACAGTGCCTACAGTATAGGACTACCTATCATAAGAATTCATCTATGGTTTCCATCATCAAATTCCTCGATACTATTTTTTGGTGAAATAACGTCATTATCGAAGAATTGATTCGATAGAGTTGTTTTCCATGCTACCATCGTGTTTTGATGATACAAAGACAATGATTAAGGATATTACTTTTAAACTGCGCACAGGGGGATTTAACATAATGTTTATGTTTGTCCTCTCTTCGGGTTAATCGACAGATTATCACCTAGTAAGCCGGTACGCTAGCTCCTAACTCACCACCTCAATACCAGTATTTGAGAAATGGAGTACGATAACTCTAAAAATAACACGACGTGGTTGGAAGCGGAGTCAACCGTGCGTTGCGTAGTTCTCAACGGCCACGTTGCGCAG